ATTCAACATCTTTTTTTAATTATACGATGGAAGGTGAACTGAGTGCTCCAACAATTTACTGCACCCAGCTGAGAAATTTTCACTGAATTTTTAAACCCTTCAATCAACATTGTGCAGTTTTTACATAACTTTTAGAAAATCTCATCAAATAATATCGTGAGATTAATCCATAAGCAGCAAGAGCATCAGTTCTGATGTAAATAGGAATGAATTAATTCCATTATACACCTAAACATAGATGGTTTATACAGTTCTTTTAACAGCAACTGTATTTCGATGAGAATTAAATATGTATTGAACGAAACCTCCCCGTGTCTGTAAGAGGAAGTCTCTTTCATGTTGACTCTATTAATGTCTGTTTTTGCAGTCCTCCCACATAACGTCGACCACAATATTTCTGTATTTCTAGATGTACTCAAAAGTTGAGCAGGCGTGGGATGAGAAAGCCGTAAATGGGTCCTGGTGACTCGCAGTTTAGTGCAGGACAGATCGATTTTATATGTGCTACCCAAGGTGTGAGGGAGGATTTCAGCAATCCTATATGAAGGATAGAACCACATGAAAGTAGGATGAGAGAATTTGGGTTTCTTTTTCTTTTTCTTTTTTTTTTTTCCCCCTGAGAGGAAAATATTCTGCATCCGTTTCAGCACCGGATTTATCATTTCAACTTGTTCAATAGCATTTTAGGAAAACAGCTTTGCAAAGCAGGAGCCCCTGATAAGCAGGTTAAAAGCTGTAAGCATTAGGATCAGCCAGTGCTTCTCTGGGACCAGACTCCTCTTTGGTTAATACGTTAAATCATGGACTTACAGTTGATGAAACATTTAGGATAGGTCAGTTCTTATTGCTCTGGATGGACAAAAGGTGGTTTATGGGCTTTATTACAAACTTTAAGGCTGCTTTCTCCCTTCACAGAAGCATAAACCTATTTTATCCTGCACAGTAGGCGCCGCTGGCCTAAACCCCGGGAGCCCTGCTCTGCTTTCAGCCCTCTTCTGCTCCGCCTGGCAGGTTAGATCTTATCGCGGCCTTCCAGTGCCTAAAGGGGCTACAGGAGAGCTGGGGAGGGACTTTTTACTGGGGCATGGAGTGAAAGGATGAGGGGGAATGGCTTCAAACTGGAAGAGGGCAGGTTTAGATTAAACATTAGGAAGAAGTTTTTCACTTTGAGGGTGGTAAGGCACTGGAACAGGTTGCCCAGAGAGGTTCTTGAGGCCCCATCCCTGGAGGTGTTCAAGGCCAGGCTGGACGTGGCCTTGGGCAACCTGGTCTGGTGGGAGGTGTCCCTGTCTATGGCAGAGGGGTTGGAACTCGATGATCTTCAAGGTCCTTTACAACCTAAACCATTCTATGATTCTATGATTAACCTGCTCCGGGGGACGCACAAACCTGACGTGAACTGCTAAAGGTAATCTCGAAAACGAGCAATTCATGGACACAACGCAGTTTTCTAAATTGTGTGAATGAAAGGTGAGTGTGTTGCACTCTAAATAAAGAAATAAAAAAAACCCGCTCCACTCCTGCAGCAACTGGGATGGTCGTAAAGGCACTTTGTGCCCTCTTGAATTTGCACTGAAAATCAGGTGGGCAGCCCCCCCCCAAAAAAACAACCGAGAGACTAACCGATGATGACAACAGAATAAAAATAACGAGATAAATATCCTAAACATCACCCCAACCGAGGAACGTTAAAAAGGTCAGGGGGACAAACTCCTGTGCCCCGTTTCTTCAGCAGAAGGCCAGCACTGAGACATCTAACGCTTCTCTGTGTTTCAAAGCAATCTTCCATCTGAGAGCCCTAATTTTTAGCTTTTTCCCTGCAAGGCGGATATTACCAAACAAGGCAATGAAATAACTCGCCCCAAGCTCTGCGTGAGATGCCTCTCGTCCGGCTGTAACGGCACCCGGCGCTTTTCTTTATGGTTTTGCTTATCTCCACTGGTGTAGCTGACTCCTTCCCCTGCCGTCGGCTATCTCGCTATACGCCCTGGACCTGTCTGCCCAGGCGAGAATGCAACACACCTTTCAAAAACACCAGGCTTTGTTTTTCTTTAAAAAAAATAAAAATGAACAAGTTAGTGAGCCGGGGATGAACGAATCGCAACGGTAACAGGTTAAAAAGGGATGGCAGAGCGCAGCAGCCCGGATCTGCCGTGCGTGGGTTAAGCGGCAAGGTGCAAAGCAGACAGTCAACTTGAAGTCAAAGAGAAGGATCTTCTTTCTGTTACACTTTTTTTTGGTGTTTTGTTGGGGGTTTTTTACGTGTCTAAAATTCTTCCAATAGCCACAGAAAAAGGATTTTTAAAGCAACTCTCCATTGACTTCAGCGCAGCGACGCAGAACTCAGCGTTTCAGGCTTGCAGCCCAAGCTGCGGGTGCTCGCAAGGGGATCCCTTAGTCCAGTGGTTTCCATCCTTTTTGGAATTTCGTCCTACCTATGGATTGGTAAAGTCTGAATTTAATGAGAAGAAGTCTGGTTTCATGGCCCGTGGTGTTGGACCATCACCGACTGCAGATCAGGGCTCGTAAACCACTGTACTAATGGTGTCCCAGATTGTGACAGTGGGTTTGGCTCAGTATAATCAACAGTACAGAAAGGCAGGAGGATAAAAACTAAAATAGTTGCAACTAAAGCCCCTCGGGTGCCTCAGGAGACTCTGACAGTAGTCATTTCACAGAACCAACGATAAATCAGGTAAAACTTAGACCCACCGCGCAGGTGAGCTACAAAACAGGCACAGCATCTGCTTTCTGTTTTAATAAGTACCACACAGCAGTAATGTTGTCCTCTTGGTGAAGTTACAAACAATCCCATTTTCACAAATAGAAAGGATTGTGAGGATGGAAAGAGAAAGCCTTCATGAGATCCAGCCGTCCTCCAGTTCCTTGCCAGATGAACCTGATTTTTCCATAGGTAGATCAAGGCTGGTTATTGATTCTCAAGAAAGCAACGAATTCCCTCCTCAGTCAAGTGCATTATGCCAAATGCGTCCCTGATGCGATTCTGCTCAGAACAATCCTCTTGCTCCATGGGTGAGCCTGCACTTTGCTCCATTGGCCTGAAGCAGCTCTCCCTCTGTTTCTCCCTGGAGAGGACTCAAAGATCTACTTCCTTCCCTATTACCAAATTGAAGCAATTGCGCATCACGGATCAAAAGCCTTTTCAGAACATTTCTGAAGCTTCCAGGCAAACTCCCATTATATTTCTTCAACCAAGCTCATGAATGAATTAATTTTTTTATTATTTATGACTGCAGGAATAACAGCACGTGAGTAATTCGGGGCTGAACGTGGACATTTGCAACCCCAAGAGCTGAACAATGTTCCTACCACTGGTTTACAGCCCTTGTTTGTTTGTTTTTAAAACATCTTCTCCCTCGGTACAAAGGAACTTCATCCAGACATGCCACCCTAGCAGTGATTTGGTTATGTTCCTCTACATCCTGCATACGACTTAGTTTTCCCTCTTTAGGGCACAGCAAGGAAAAAGCATACAAGTGCTTCAAGGTTTATCCTGCTGACACAATTACTAGTGTGGCTATACTCCTAACACTGTGCTCCCTGTAACGCTTTTGAATGATTTGATGGTACTCTGGGAAAGGACTGCAAGGAAAGCAAGAATAAAACCAAGACAAGGGAGTACATCGGTCAGGATACTAATCTTCGCAGCCTGATGTGTCTGAATCCTCTTAATGTAATAATACAACATTAGTGTCTGCAGAGGGCTGCCCCAAAGGTCCATCCAGACCAGAACCCGGTCCCAGACAGGGCCAACAGCGGAGGCCTATGGAAAATGATGAAAAAAATATGAGTGGAGTACCATTTTCCCTGAATATTTTTCCGGACTCCAGTCGTTCGCTGCGCAGCAGCTTCTTGAGTCAGAACGCCTTTGTGTTTGATGGCTCTTAGTGGATGCTGATAATAAACTGTCAAAAGTCCACTTGAACCCTTGTTACTATCACAAAGACAATGTGAAAACAGTGAAGATGAGGAAAGAAGGTCCTACAGCTGTTGGCAAACCTCTGGCTTTTGTTGGCCATGTCTCCACTGACTGCATCTGGGACAGCTCTCTGAGACTGAGGTTCACTGGCGTGGAATGGTCTGTGCCTGCCCTAGTCCTCTCTCTTGTCCTCCACAGCAGTAAGTCATCTATTATCTAGCAGAGACGGTCCCTTGGCTGTATTATCTCCTGAACTGCTGCTGGGAGCTGTTTGAGAGGCAGCGCTGGCCCATGCTCAGCCAGCCAAGGACAGTGCTAAGACGTACAAAGAACCAGTTTCCTATGCCAGAGAAAGTTCCTTACGCAGATGTGGCCACCAGTTTAAACTCAGTGGCGATGGGTTTATAGCAAGCCTGTCTAACACACCGCTTGTGGAAATCCCTTCAATAAGAAGGTAACTTGGTCCGTATCACCCTATGAATTCAGGTGAAACACGGAGAAACCAAAGGAATAGACTCTGTGACTACGTGGTGTGTAATACCTGAACAGTCCCAGATAACGGGTGGACTACTATTGCTCAGGATGCAGAGCTGTCGGTTCTGCTTTCTCGGCCATTCCAGGTGGTCTTCAGTGGTATTTCAGCAACAATCACGATATGCCTGCAGCTCTACAGCTTTATGGACTGGCCCCTGGGGTGTGTTTTTCAGCGACAGGTAACTCACGATCCGCCAGGCTGACACACGTTTTCAGGTATTCCAACAGGACCAGAAACCTTTTTCTTACACTAGTGGTGGTGGGACATACCCTTCATTTGCTCCTCCTTTTTCATATAATGCATTTAAGAGCATTATATGATGAAGTTGATTTGCCAGGTTTGGAAATCAACAGATGGTGATGGGTATAGAGCTGCGCTGCAGTATACCCATGCACATCTCGATAGACATACGGATACGTGTACACCAACAATCAACATGGATAAGATGGCAAATATGTTCGATCCTCAATGAGATGGTTTTAGAGTAATTCACTGACATACTTACAGAGCTGCTCAAGATCGTACCTTCTATGGTAATGGCTTGGTCTCCTCTCCTGTCCTGGGTCAGGGCCGCGGCACTGTGATGGTAAAGTTCTGCTCCGCTTTTTGCAGACCCTAATCTGTTCACCAGCTAGAGAGAACCATGCAGTACCGAATGAAACGCAGCGTGTTTTTGTATAACGAAACCGTCTTATACTAGATTACAAATTCATCGCAATTACACGACAAGAGCAGTGGGTGAAGATGTGACCCCAAACCCAAGCTAGAGTTCGTATGAACACGTTGCTGCTGAGCGAAGTTTGTGAGAATGCTTCACCACAAATGACAACTTCCAACACATCAGCTAAAAGTTATTTGCAGTTTGCTCTGCAGCCTTGGTCCTGAAGGAATTCTGTCACTACCAACAGGCACAGATTCCTGCCATGTGCCGTTTAAGAGGTAATTAAAGGGGGATTTTTTTTGTTTAGCATCCATTAATCCACTGAATCTTACTCAGCCAAGGGAATACTGGATCTTGGGATCTCAGCTAATGGCAAATGGAGAGCAGCTCTGTGGAAAGGGACCTGGGAGTCCGGGTGGACAACAGGATGACCATGAGCCAGCAATGTGCCCTGGTGGCCAAGAAGGCAAATGGCATCCCGGGGGGGCATCAAGAAGAGTGTGGCCAGCAGGTCGAGGGAGCTCATCCTCCCCCTCTGCTCTGCCCTGGTGAGGCCACATCTGGAGTATTGTGTCCAGTTCTTAGCTGCCCAGTTCAAGAAGGACAGGGAACTGCTGGAGAGGGTCCAGCAAAGGGCTACGCAGATGATGAGGGGACTGGAGCATCTTTCCAATGAGGAAAGGCTGAGGGACCCGGGGCTTTTCAGTCTGGAGAAGAGGAGACTGAGGGGGGATCTTATCAATGCTTATAAACCCTTAGAGGGAGGGTGCCATGGGAGATGGGACCAATCTTTGTTCAGTGGTGCCCAGTGACAGGACAAGAGGGAACGGACACAAATTTGACCATAGGAAGTTCCATCTCAACCTGAGGAGGGCCTTCTCTGCTGTGAGGGCGGCAGAGCAGTGGCACAGGCTGCCCAGAGAGGTGGGGGAGTCTCCCACTCTGGAGCCATTCCAAACCCGCCTGGACGCCGTCCTGTGCCACTGCTGGAGGTGCCCCTGCTCTGGTAGGGGGTGGGACTGGGGGAGCTCCAGAGGGCCCTTCCAACCCTCACCAGTCTGGGATTCTGTGAATTGCGAGGTAAGGTGATTTTGCAAAAAAACGTATTAGAAGTCATTCTTAAACTTTTCTGTGGAATTACTGTGAAGTTGCTGGGAGCCGAGCCACTTACCATGGGTCACTTCACCCATGCTAATTTCCTAAATCAAGGCCAACTGTTTATTGCCAAGCCCTGAGAGATTATTACTACTTTATTACAATGAATGGATGGCATATGACTAATTTTTAGAAACTATTTTACATCACATTTATTTTAATTTATTAGATACTTCCATGCGTGCTTGCTAAATAAACAGGAATTCCAGTAGTTCACACTTCTATTTATGCTCAGTTTCTTTCTTTTTGGTTTCTTTGGATGGTTTCTTTGTAGTGTCATGAATCTATTCTAATTTAAAGACGGTCTAGAAACAAAAGTCATGTCAGAATGGTCTTAAACTTTGTGAAAGGTACCTCTACAGATCTGGATCTGGATTTAAGCTCCAGAAGAAGCTCATTCTATTATTATTTGCAAAACCAAACTCTCAGATCAGAATATTCTGAAGCTTTTGGACATCCACAATCTGGATCTACTCCAGGAGAATCTGATTGGTGTAAACTTTTTTGCTGTGGCAGGCAGCAGCAATTACTCAGCCACTAATCTCATGCAGTGATTCTCTCCCAGTAAAATGAATTCTCCTATTTATGTCATGTCACACAGCAGATCTTTAAATCTCTCTGAACTTACCTCACATTCATAGTGTCCCATATCTTCATTGGAAGGGTTCTTCACCACCAGGACTACCATGCCACTCCGTGGTTCACTGAAAGTCTGGTATTTACTTGTGTCCTTCAACAACACACCATCTTTGTACCACCTGCATGCGGAAAACACTGAGTATAAGCCAGGAAAAAATATGCAGTGTCAAGAAGTCCCCAGCTCACCACTCCATCTATCAGAGCAATGGGCAAACAACTCAAGAGTTAATCCTTAACCAAAAGTTTGGATCCCAGGACATAGGTCTACAGGTGGGTAGATCACATGTGGGTACTGAGCTGCCCAGGTTTATGAGATGCTTCTCAAGAAATCTCATCAGCCAATGCAGGGAAAAGGGTTTCTAATCGTGTCAAGCTATGCTGAGTTTTTTATGTGAATACCCCAGGTTGGTTTGCTGATAAAGTTAATTCAAGTGTAAGGCAGGGAGGGTAAAGAAATGAGAAAATATTATCAGGTCTTTAGGTCTGATGCAGTCCTATGACAGGTTTTATCTGTAGGTATTTCTTTTCAGATGCTAGCTGGAATAAATTGCTGAGAATCTCAGGAATGTTGGAACCAGGAAGCGAGCCAGCACTGGGATGGGGTTAAAATGGAAGACACAGAGAAGGAAGGATCAGGTCGTAACCTTGAAAGAAAGGGCAGGAGACCATGCAAAAATGGGAAAACGGGATTTCCTCCTGTATGACTTGAAGAACTGACCTGATTTGAGGCCTAGGTGCTCCTTCGACAGTACAGGTAAACTGAGCGTCTTCACCCTCAATAAGATAAGCATTTCTAACCTTGTTCACAAACTGGGGTGGCACTGCAAAACAAGGATAAATGTAGCTAGTAGTATGACCAGACATGAAGGATGTGTCCCTGACCAGATAATTCTCATGATGTCTGCACACAAGACACCAAAGACCAAATTTTTTGACTTAAGAATAATTGACTACACCTGCACATCAAATAATTTCTTTTAAAGCATTATCCAGTAGATGTTATACAGAACTTCTGGAATGTCTTAATATTCCTGTTTAAGGTATTACGTAGCAGAGCCCTTTAAGACAATACATCTGTGCAGAACTTTACCTTGAACAAGGATCTTTCCTAAGGTACTGGCATTTCCCGCAGGACTGGAAGCAAAGCACATGTACTGTCCTGAGTCAACACCCGTCAGGTTGTCCAATATCAATGTGCAGGAACCATCGGGATCTTCTATTATGATGTGATGGGGATCCACCTCCACAGGCCTTCCATCTTAAAGACAAAGGGAATTTTTTTTAAAAAAATAGCTTAGTATCAATTATGTTTTCTCCTTGGGAATTTCATCCAGCTTTTCGTCTTGAGAGGACTGAGAGCTGTATTTGCTTTATTGCAGCTGATGTTGGTAGTTGAGGAAGAAGTTCTTCATCTTCATCCAGCTCTCCACAAAACGTCCTCTGGGCAAACACTGTTGAGGGACCTCATCATCATCAATCCTCATTTAAAAGTGAATTTCTCCCAGAGCATGTGCTGTGCAGTTATAGCTCTGATTTTTTAGCCAAAGGAACACCTCCTAAGTGGCCGTACAGATACAGAACAGATCTTTACAAGGCGTGAACTTACAGCAAAGCTCTTTCTTCTGCAGTACAGTAATGTTGGGGAAAAGAATATGCCCATACAGCTGCCTGTGCTATGACATGGAAACATCTGAGCTACTTCAAAGAAGTTGTTAATTTCCTAGAAGCTGTCTAACTCCCACAAGACATAGATTCATATGGGCCAACAAGCAAACCTGAAAAAGCAGGATATATATGACCTGGACAGGCTGGAGAATGGAGCAGAGAGAAACCTAATGAAGTTCAACAACTTCAAGTGTAGGGTACTGCATCTGGGGAGGAATAACCCCATGCACCGGTATGGGTTATGGGCTGACCTGCTGGAGAGCAGCTCTGTGGGAAGGGACCTGGGAGTCCTGGTGGACAACAGGATGCCCACCAGCCAGCAATGTGCCCTGGTGGCCAAGAAGGCCAATGGCATCCTGGGGGGCATCAAGAAGAGTGTGGCCAGCAGGTCGAGGGAGCTCATCCTCCCACTCTGCTCTGCCCTGGTGAGGCCACATCTGGAG